CTCGCCTTTTTAAAGCTTGAGTCGGTTGCTTTATCTTATAACACGTGTATTTAAAACTTAATCGGACGGCTTTTAAGGTACGTTCTTTTTTATTTATTAAAGTAGGTAATTTACTAATTTGATGGATTGTTTTTTTTATTTAACCCCCTTTATTTGTTAAGTTTTGCATATTAACCTCTAGGTTTTGGGGAATTGTTTTTAGCCCCTATCAGTGTGGATGCATTTATTGGCGTGTTGATATTTTGCTGTATTAACTACAAATTGGCGATTTAGTTGTGCAATATCGAGGAGACGCTACTTTTCATTAAGATCCGGTAGGACTGGTTAACATTCTGGTCAGAGATTTGATTTTCGGTTAAGAATACCAGAAATGTTTTGGTCATGCGTTTCAATTTGGATAATATGATTTGAACCAAACAGAAATAAAATCGACCTAAATCTTGATATGGTTTAAATGAATTCATTTTTTCTATTTCACTGAGTATCTTAATAATTAAACGTAGATGCATGGCCACAATGATCAAGCTCTATGCATATTTTTCCGACATTAGAAGTTTAGAACCATACATAACTCGTATTTAATAGTATCCAGGAATCTTCACACCTTTAAATGAGCAGATACGCTCCATTATATATGTTTGCATTTAAATTGACATTGAACATTCCATTGTTTTCAGAATCGATGCATATGTTTCCACAAACTTCTTTGCATATTCCCAAAGTAATTCTTGGATGTCTCATACAAAAGTTTGGGATGCATTGCTTTACGCAGTCATCTACTGCCTTGTTCGAATGAGAAGACCGTGCCTACCTTGTCAAATTTGAGGCAATCGCTTCATGCCCCCTTGATATTACCAAATTTTAGGACTCAAATTTAAGAAAAATTGTAAATTATATGAATTTTTTATAGTAATTTTAGTTTGATATCATTATTTACACAAATTTTGGACCATATTTTTTTTTTTAACACTTCTTTTTGGAATCCCAATTTTTTTTTTGCCTTAGGCTTTTTAAACTCTAGGAACGGGCTTGTGTACATGTACCAAAAACATCATCATGAACACAGCTACAATCATCAAGAGTACAATGCATTTTTTTTAGCCATATATGGGATTGATGTTGAGAATATTTAGTCGTAATTGATATCTTATGTTGTGATAGAGTTACAAAATCAATAATTTGATTGAAATGTTTTAGTTGGTCTAACTAGTACTTTATATAGTAAGGTAGATTTCTCTATTTTAGAAA